AGAGGCTTGTATTGGTTAATACAGGGTTGCAGTGAATTTCTGCAGCTGATTGATTGATTGATTAATTGATTGTATTGTGGCATTTATAGATTTTTTTCCCCCTACAAGTAAAAAGAAAAGCATTGCTTTTAGCCACGGGGAAGAAATAAAAAAATTTCATTCTCAGAAATCCTGAGAAGATAATTGTATTTGTTTCTAGTTCTGTTTTTTCTTTTCTTTTTTCTTAGTTTATAATATAAAATACAATAGAAAATATGGGCAGGAAAAGGATGCAAGTGTTGATTTGCACACCTCCCATCAACTTCAACAAGGTGTCTTGAATGTGTCTTGGCGATGAGACTGTCTGCCTGATTAAACATTAAACATAAATCCTAAATCTGCAGGATTTCTGTTTCAGGGAGGGGCAATAAGGCAGGAGATTCTGAGTATTTCGATTTTGCTTAAATATAAGTTAAAAAATTGAAATAGCTTGTTAATTAAAGAAAAATACCTTCTGCATATTAATGAAGGACATCATCATCCTCAGTTACCTTTGCCACAGTTAGGCTTTGAATTTAAGCCCATTGACAAAATAAATTGTCCAGACTCACTGCTCTGCCCAAAATAAAATAAACGACAGTGAGGATGATTTAGCAATAGTACTGTGAGCGCAGGTCCTCCTCCTGCCGAAGTTAAGCACGTGGCAATATTTTGGAACGTTGCAAACTTCACTTCTCTCTTCATTTAGCATTTTTCCTTTTTTAAAAAATATGTTTATTTCAGAATATTTTATGTTTGATGCTTTAGCTCACTAGGGAGCTTGCTTTAGCAGTCCTGTTGGTTTATTTTCTGTTTAGCTGAGACGGGATGTCAAGGAAGCACAAGGCAAAGCTGTGCTTGCCGACGGAGCATTCCTCCTCAGCCCCAGTCGTCCCCCCCCCACAGAGCCTGGAGCTGTGGGGCAGGAAACCGCGTCCTTTTCACTTTGTGCATTTGTGCAAATTCAGAATGCAGAAGAACTACCTCAGCGAGGCCCACATGATGTGGGAAAACAGGAACACAAAGTGGAGGAAAGTTGCGAGAGAAGCGGTCATCTCCTAGTCACTGGTGGGGCCAACAGCTGTGCCATTGAAGCACAATCTACGCTCTCCACTCCGGCAATGGCCACTCTCGGCCTGTGCGCTGATCCCGAGCGAGCGAAGGGCCAGTAATGGGAAGAAGCCGAAGCCAGGCCGAGGGGAGATAATGCTGCCTAAGAAGAGACTTGTGCGGAAGGCCCTCGCCATTTGGTCCGACGCAAGGCGCTAGGCGGGCAAATCGCTTCCCATCCAGCTGAAATGGGCCATTAGGTATCAAGGAAAATTGTCTTTCACTCCTTTCAGCAGATGGAGCAAATATTTTACAAAGCCATTTTACATAGGAAAACCATTTGCGGGACTCGGTAATGGCAGCTGTTTTACATGATGTTACCTTCCAAAAGATGACATCTCACCAAAAAAAGGGAAAAAAATCAGGACTTTTGTTAATTTTCAAATTTTCAGCAGCACACTCAAGCATGTAGCCCTAAAAGCCACATTTCAATTCTAAGTAAGTGTGGCTGGTGATGGATTGCTTCCCAAAACATTTCCTGCATTTGTTTGCTTTTTTGTGTAGGCCCCAGAGAGTAACAAAAAATGAACAACAAAACAAACTGTGGAGTGCGTGTAAGCCATCGGCCTGTGTTGGAGGGGAGGAAATTTCCGTGCTTTGTGTGTTAATCTGTTCAAAGGGCCGAAGCCTGGAGCGGTTCCGAACTGGGGGAAGGCAGTTTCGTTTCTTCACCGGGCCCTCAGAAAGAACTTTAAATCACAGCCCTCATTTAGAAACCAGATGGGGAAGAAGCCCATTTAAGGAATATATCAACATTGGCGCTATTGATGGATGAGCCATTTGTGGACAGATAATTAGATTTACAGATAGTCCTCGACTTACGACCACAATTGAGCCAAACGTTTCATTGCTAAGTGAGACAGTTGTTATGCCCCAGTTTACGACCTTTGTTGCCACAGTTGGCTGTAGGATCACCTGCTTGAGCAGAGGGTTGGACTAGAACAGAGGTCCCAAACCTTTTGGGCACTGGGGGCCAGTTTTGTGGAGATAGATTTTTGCGCGGACCGGAGGGGGTGTGGTTTTGTGTGCTGCCTGCATCCTGTGGATGGGGTTTTGCTTGTTTGTGCGGCCTGGTTGCTGGCATGCCACGGACTGGGGGTTGGGGACCCCTGGACTAGAAGACCTCCAAGGTCCCTTCCAACTCTGTTATTCTGTTATAATCTGTTACGATCCTCCAAGGCGGTTGAAAGAACCTGGCTGGACCCAAACCTCCTTCCCCTAGCCCGGCGGTCTTCTTACTACCTTGTCCCCTTCCTCAACAAAGGGACCTCCTAGAAGCCGCTCCTGCAAATTCATTGCAAACAGAAGACAAACCCTTGGAACTGTCATGGTATGAAAGGACACATTACAAAGATTTGGCGGGGGAATGTTTTTTGATTGGAAATAAATATCTCAGATATTAAATATCCTGGAATAAATATCCTGAGATCTAACCCAGGAAGATCGGAGAGAATGGCCTTTCCTAATTTGATGATAATAAGACCAAAGCAACTTAATGGCATGTATTGATTTGCAGGCAGCGCATCTTACCAGCGTTAATCAATGAAAAGCACATTTTTGTGGACCCTGCAGTCTTCCCTCCCTGCGCTCCATATGGGAAATCATTAATTTTCTCTGGTTCCCAAATTAGTTATACGTGAAAGGAACCACAAGTCATTCATTCTTCCGCCTCTTGTCTATACGGTCTTCTTCAGCCGTCTCAGTGCTATAGCAGGGCCCTGCGACTTGTAGCCTGTTAAGGCATTCCTCCTCAGCGTAGCTCCACACATTTTCGCTTTCCCAACGGTAGGAAAAAGTCATAGGCCAAGAGAAAGTTTGCCATTCATGGTTGCCACTCTTAATATCAAGTGACCTTGCAGCACAAACAGGCCTCCCTTACACACAGCCTCTCACCCCTTCTTAAGAAGCGTAACGTGTCCAAAGGCTTTCTGAAAAATCAGGAATTCTGAACAACCAAATAATAATTATGTACACAACAGTGTGAAATCTCAATGGCCAGTCCTTTAGCTGGTATTGTCCTTCATTCTCACTGAGTTCTTCCCAAGAACCTAGGATGTTGTAATGTATTAGTCTATGGAATTGTTGTCAATCTACAGATTTTATAAGTGTCTTTCAAGAGTTTTTGATAGGGCACCCAGTGTGTCAATAACCACTGGGATCACTGGATTAGTATTACTAATAATGATAATATTGACATTGACAAAATCCCCATCAGTCAGTTGCAAAAGGCAGCTTTGCTTGGAGCAGCTTACATCCTGTGGCGATGCCAAGCATCCACATCTGCCTATTCCAGGTCCTCAGAAAGGATTCGATAGATGGACAAAACTGCCAGATCCAGTCTGAACATCTGGCTGGCTGTGCAATGAACCATAATAGTAATATGCTGCCCAACTCCCAGCAAATCAGTTAGTTCATTTAAAGAGTAATACCCCATAAGATAGAACTTCCCTTTGCAAAAAGTGCAGGTCGGGTTTGTTTAGCCTCACGCTGTGCGACTGCTTGTTTTCTGCTTGTTCCCCTGGATTCAAGGTAGGCTGTACGGCATATAATCTCCAGGAGCCTCCCTCTTGCACCTTCACAGACATTATTCAGAAAGATTCAGCTGTGTTCAGGGATTTTCTGTCTGTGGGCAGTAGATGGCCCAAATAAGTTAACCAAGCCACATGCTGAAGAGGGAGCTGTTCTATTTCCAGACAGTCCAAAAATACATTTTGGGGTCTGAAATTCAGAAGTTGACCTTGGATAAACAGAAAAGGGCAAAGCACAGATTCCCAACACAAAGCATTTAAAAATGGACAGAGCCCGACTTCAGCAGGAGGACGAAAGGAGCGAGGGAGATGTTTCACCCGTCGTTCCAGTCAGGAGGAGCAACAACTGAGTCCCAAGATTGTGGTGTGAAGGGGCAATTAGTCCTCTTTGGAGCATGGGACGTTTCTAATTTCAAGGGTCGTGAAGCAGAAGGAAAAGGGCTCAAGGGAAAAAGGGAAGTGATTGTAAAGTAGTGAGAGAAGAGTGACCTGGAACATGATGTACAAAGTTCCCAAATTTGATGTGCTTGCTCAGCTTCCAGAGTGTGGGCCTGATTGACACCATGAAGTTAAGACCTGGGTCTGGGTTGTTGCCTTTTGTGTGTGTGCAAATCTGTGGTTGTTTTAGGCCCTTGGGGAGCATCCTACATGGCCTGCCTCTTGTCTCAGCATCCCTTTATGTCCTGCACCCAACTGATCCCAGTTTTACCTATCTGGTCTTTGATTTAATTGAGGGCAGTTTTGATGAGGGACCAACAGCCAAAACAATATAGCTCAGAGGTGGCTCGTGAGGTAGGACAAGAGCCGAGGAGAGGACATCCGAGCCAAACCAAGAGCTAAGATCAAAAGTAGCCTCTCCAACGCTAACTATCTCGGGGCATTAGGGGAGAGAATGGGTGCACGTGAAAACTATATGGAGTGCAGAAATGGGGAAGAGTCCGCAAATGTGGGTTCTACATGTAAGCCCACAGGAGAAGGTGGGGGAAAGCCTTTGAGTAAAGAGACAATCCATGTCTCTTAAAGGGGAATAAATAGAGCTTCCCAATAGGCTAATATGAGTGGCTTTAATCTCTTCAACCCCCATTTGTGTTGCTGTTGTTAAATAGGGGGCTAAAAAAGAAATATATTCCCTTCTTTTTTAACGAAGAGGTTGCGGGGGGGGGACGGACCCCAAAGTTCCCAGATACATGAAAGAAGATAGGGAAAACATTTAAAAAAGACTTCCTGGCTGTGGTTAAACAGTAACCACACTGCCTGTTGGAGGCCTGGTTTTTAATCACCCCACAAGCCGTTTTCATTTCTGCAGTAAAATTGCTTGTGGTTCTATTTAATTTGTTTCTGCAGGAACCAGCTTTGGTGAAGCTCTCTCAGGAGCTGCCGGGCCTTTTAGCACAGCACGCCCAGGCTGTCAATGGAAAACGATTTCCTACATGGGGGAAATTCCTCCAAACGTTTGTGAGTCAAGGTAAATAAGACTGCTACATTCCTGCTAAGTGCTATCAGGGATAATTATATCGCCAGCACTTTGTTCTCATTCACTGGTATATTTCTTCACCTCCATCCTCTTTCCTTCCCCATTACAGTTTTTATCTTTTTAAGAATGAAATACAGACAGCCATCTTCGATCTCGCCAATTTTGGACAGGATGCTCCCCCCAGGATGGAAAGAAGGATGTGTTTATTCATGTAAATGATCTTGAGGCTCCCAGCTCCCTCCCTTCTCTAAAGTTATCCCCACAGTTAAATTTTTATCCCACTTTGGGATGATAAAATGGACATCATAAATGGCAAAATTGTTTAGAGAGGCTGTCCCTGAGTATCTGGTGATATTAGTGGTCTTTGGGGGGGGGAGTCCCATTATGGTGTGAAAATGCCTACGTGTGGGCCATGGACATCACAGCATAGAGGAGCAATTGTGAAAACTGATGTAAGTTCTTTTTGTGTTCTCTGTTTCTTTACTCACAAACTTTGAGTAGTCGGAACTGGTCAGGAACGGGAGCAGTAAAGATCACTGAATCCTCTTCTTTCATCAGTTCTGTTCAGCTTCTTCTTCTCTGGCCTCTGGAGACCAGGAGACATTTTCAAGCAGAGTTTTGCAGTCATGTTTAAGAATTAGAAGCTCCATTTATCAAGAGCCATATATACAGATGTGCATGTGTATGCATGTCTACAGCAAATGCCCCTTCCCTCCTTGGAGGTCCCAGGTGGTGGACTGGCTGTAACAGTACTTTTAAAAAGAAGAATCCCTTTGCTCCTTTGGCAGAGGGTGCATCGGTGGCGTGAATGAGTGGCTTGACGCTGCTCTTGTTTCCCCAACCAGGTGGAGTCATAGAAGCCTTCCCACCTTCAGACAGCCTCACCAGCCTCACCGTGGACATGCTGATTGAACCTACCGGGGAGGTCACGATGGTTTCCTGTGGGGACCAGTTTCACGCGGACAGTCCCTTGCGGTCTTCGGGAACTACCCTTCCTCAGGCTTCAGTTGAACCCGAGCTCCTGAATCTGCTGTGTTTTAAAATTGGAGAGGCCTGCAAATCCAGGGGAGTGGTTGGATACTTTTCTATCGACTTTGTGACTTTCATCCACCCGCAGACCTTGAGGCAGCAGGTGAGCCATAAAGGTAAAGCTTCAGTTCCTTTGGCACTCTCGCCAGCGCGGCAGAATCTCTGAATTCCTGGGGTCGGAGTGGGGTGCAGCCAAGTGTTTCCTTTCGTTGGTACTGCACCCTAATTAACCCCAGATCCTCAGAAATATGTGCTGTGGAAAATCTAGAATAAATGCTCATCCCTTTTAGCCTTTAGGTTCAGGGACTATTCTACATGGTTTACATTTCTCTGGGGGTGCCTGCAAAATCTACGTTTGTCATTTTAACCATCAGTTTTCTGTTCCTTGACATCAAGGGGAGAGTATTAAAAACTGATCGGTAGATTCCTGGTGAAATATTTGTGTTTTAAGCCAGCAGAATAAATCAACCCAAGGGAATGGAGGTTTTCAGGAAAAGATTAGGCATCCATTTTTCAGGATGGTATAAGGTTTCCTGCCTTGGGCAGGTTGGACTAGAAGACCTCCAAGGTCCCTTTCAGCCTTATAATTCTGTGAATGACCTCATGTAGAAGCCAATCTGTCCTAAGAGAATCTCCTCCGCGTCCAGCCAAATTATTACTCATCTTTGGAAAAACAGAAAATATTTGGGAACAAAGCGAAGCAAGGTTTGTTTTGATTTGGGAGCAAAACCTTCCATTTTACTCTGGCTGGAGTTCAGTTGGGTAACATATAACTTCGTGCTGCCAAGGAGCCCAGCTAAATAGTGTGATCTCTTTCTGTGTCTTTTTCTCCCCTGAACGGCTCTCCAGCAAAGCCTTTGCCCTTTTGCCTTCTCCCCTCCTTTCATCGTCCACATCAGCCCCTTTTTGCGTGCCTCTTTCACCCAATGGTTCCACCTTGCAATTTCCTACGTTTCCCAGCTTGTGCCACAACTTTAGCATTACTTAAGCCGAGTTTTTCCCCCCAACTTAATTAGATATAGAGGCAATTAATGATGCCATCTGTCTTGTTGTGTGAGAGAGAGATTACACCAAAGATTGTGCTTCTGAAAGCATTATTTTTTTGGCAAACTAGGAATCCTATTAGACTTGTTCAAACACTCTCACACTAATTTCCCAGTTCCCATTTTAGATCAGTAGCTCAAAGGCTGAAATAAATTCTCCAGAACTATTGTACACTCAGGCATCCGCCAGGAATTATCTTTTACTGAAAATAACCAATGATCTATGTTATTTCACTAAACCTAAAAATTAAATATATCATTGAACATCTGTTACCACTATAGTGAAAGAGTACTTAAATATCTCAAAATCCCAGAGATTGTCATACGATAGGAATCTTTTCAGAATCCCAGAAAATTCTGCAGTACAAAATGGGACAGGTTTTTGCTGATAGCTCATAGATCTGAGATAATCCTTCAATTTTGGGGGGAGATGAAACATGAAACTTGTTTAGGAGCTGCCATTATTTGGGATGCCACCAATGAAGCAATTCAAAGTAACCTCAGAATTTGAGGAAACCATTGATCAGCCATGTGTGACTCCTGCACACAAGCCCAGCCATGAGTCATGTTTCTTTCCCTTCACTTTTGCTCTTCAACTTTCAATGGAATAATGAAAAATAGTTTTGTCAATGGCTAGGACAGGGCCATGCGGGAAGAATTTCCTTTACTCTTTCAGCAAGTCTCCAGCAAGATTCTCCAGGTCCCTGTGGCCACTGCACTTTCTTCAGCACTCGGGAGCTAGTCACAGAATTGCTAAACGATCAGAATAACAGAGTTGGAAGGGACCTTGGAGGTCTTCTAGTCCAACCCCTGTTTGTGCAGGAGACCCTGTACCATTTGTGACAAATGGCTGTCCAGTTTCTTCTTAAAATCCTCCAGTGATGGAGCTTCCACAAGGCAAAGCAGTTCCACTAATTAATTGTTCTCACTCTCAGGAAACTTCTCCTTAGTTCTAGGTTGCTTCTCTCCTTGATTACTTTTCATTCACTGTTTCTTGTCTGGCCTTCAGGTACTTTGAACAATAGGTTGACCCCCTTGTCTTTGTGGCAGCCCCTCAAATATTGGAACTCTGCTATCATGCCTCCTTCTTTTTGCTAGAGTAGACATACCCAATTCCTGCAACCATTCTTCATATGGTTTAGCCTCCAGCCCCCTAATCATCTTTCTTGCTCTTCTCTGCAACAAATGGTCAACTGAGAAAAGAAATCTTGGATTATATGTTTCAGATTATATAAGGAAGGTTTGTAGAGTTGTGTAATATCTTGAGTTAGCTCTGATTTGTACACCATTTGTATTATAGCCATGGTTCTGAAAGAAAGAAGACGGAACAGAATGAAATGGACCAAAATTACAATTAGAAATAATATTGAATATATTTTCAATAATTGTTCACAGCAACTCAACTCATATTCAGTAAGCCTGAATACTGTGCTGTTTAGTACAAATATGGCCACGTTATCACATTGCTTCAAGCAATGTGGCTGTTTCTATCTCTATAGTTTTTTCAACACAATACAAGCTAGTTTCATCTCCAAGAGAACTTACAGATTTTATGAACTGACTTTCCTCTCAATAAGAGAATTGATTGACAGTGAGAGTCAAGACTTAAGTGGTTAGGTTCCTAATACGGAGAACTGCTGGTTGACAATATAATGGGGCCAAAGAGGAACTAAACAGTTCAGTGCAGGAACAAGCCAATTTTTAGAAACCACAACCAAACATCAGAACAATCAGGAGCAGCTTATCTAATAACTTTATTGTTACGGTCCACAACCAGAATCCACCTGGTATTGTGATTAAGGTGTTGGTCTATGACTTGAGAGGACCCCAGTTGAAATCCATGCTCAGCCATGGAAATTCCATGGGTGACTTTGGCCCAGATCCTTTTTCTCATTTCCAGATGTCTTGAGGTTAAAAATAAGGAATGATGTAGGTCTCCTTGAAGTTGTGGAAGAAAGCTATATGTCCAGTTACCTGATTACTTGTGGAGAGGCAGAATATGAAGCTTCAGTTGTCACTACCAGGCAAAAGGAACAAAAATGATGTCCAAAGAATGTGACAGTGATAGGATTTCTGTTTTGGTTTGGAGCCTGCAGACAACACCTTTGCTTCTTCAGACAGGAGCTTCTGGGTCTGTGGAATGCCCAAGGAAGCTTCTGAAGAAGACAGTTCATTTCCCCACGTCAGCATTTTCTCCAGTCCCAAAACCTCATTTGTGACTTCTGCTGGCTTAATTCTTGGTCGAGTGAAGGACTAGAAAGGTAAGCTAGAGAGGGCAGCAGTGCTAAGGCCTGTGTGGCAGTCAAAAAAGGATGGTAAAAAAACACGAGTACCAATTCCCTCCACCTACCTTAAGCCCAGAATCGTACCTCATTCACAGATTGCACTGATCTTGATTATTATTGCATGCTGAAGCATATTAATGAGTCTACCTTCCATATCAAGAAATTATTTTAGAAGAACAAATCCATGTTCCTTTTTGATTAGCTACAAATTCATTTTTTTTTTCAGTATCAATGAAGCATCTTTTAGTGATGGATTACATTCTAACTATATGTTAAGCGGGAATGTTTTATAAATACCTTCTCTATTCTTCAGCTAGGAAAAATAGTTGTCCATTTTTCCCTGACATTATTTTAATACCTTCTTCAATTTGTTATTTCACTGATTAAATGCTAGACAGATCATGTAGGATTTTTTTTAATTAGTTTAGAAAACAGTTTTAGAAATGACCCGGCTAGCCTGTTGAAAGGGATATGTAATTGGCTAAGGAGAGCTGAGTAGGTACACGAAGACTTTTCTCTCGTCACTGCTATGATTAAAGAAATCTGAAAGTTTCGAATCCCCAACGCAACTTTCATCATCACAAAGCAAAACGAAGCAAATCAAGCCCTCAAGCAGACACTGCACAAATTAGTTTGAGAAAGGAAATAGAAGCCCTTTATCTGAGTGACTTTCTGCTTGTCAAGATCTGTATTTCCGAGCCTTTGTTTCGTTGGCTCTTTATTTTTTCACAAATGCTATTAACAGCAGAAGTTGGAATTACAAACAAACATTGTAAGGCAGGTTATTGGTCAGACAATACATTTTGTAAAACATGTAATCCTCCATTACACCTCAAAATATCCTGGGTGATTTTATAGATTGGGGGAATGAAAACATTTCCAATATAATCTGCCAAGTGCGGCCTTACGTCTGAAGCCGATTAAGGGTTCTGGAGAGCATCTCTCGGGGCAATCGGTGCCTGCAGGCGGCCCTCTTCTGTGGAGGCCCTCGGGGAATCTGCTGAGGGGGACACCGGCGCTTATGAGGGCGTTTGAGGAGGGGCTTCGGGATTCACAGATCCCAAAGGAGAAAATACAGCTCTGACCAACTGCCCTAGTCAGGACCGGTGGGCATCATGCAGGGAGGGGCATTCCAGAAATTGCTTCTAATTTCCACCCACCATATCTATCCAATATTCAGGAATTTGCTATGCTTTGTAACCATCTCCCACTTGGGAATCTGAAGGAAGGAAAGGTCCTGATTGTAGGAAGGAGCTGTCAAAACACACCTCGTGTCTTTTCTCTCGTGGTTGCTGTGTAGGCCTGTGGGGAGATATTCTGCACACGGATATTGAGGGGAAGATTGGCAGAGCCTGGGGGGGGGGGGGAAACGTATAAGGTAGGCTTGTCCCAAAGGTGCTTTTTCAAAAGGCAGCTGGACTTTCCTTTGTTTTTCACTTCTCATCGAAGAAGCTTCTTCAGTTCTGAGAAGTGAAATATCTTCAAGGAAAAGCAAGAAGGTCCAGTTGCCTTTTGGAAAAGCTCCTTTGGGACAACCGTGGCCTGGATGACTGAGAATCTCCATAGATAAGGTGGGCTTTTGCACAAGGATGCCAGAAAGGCCAGCATTTCCCAAAGACTTCATGACTGGTGAAATCTCTGGCATATTTAGCTTTTATTTTGGAAAATCTGAGTTCCTCTCTTTCAAAAGTGGCTGCCAAGTTATTTAGCTTCAGAAACGGATGCCTGTCTTGCGGAAAGCTCTCCCCCCCCCCCCCCGCATCCTTAGAATTCTT